GAAATCTAGCAAACCATAAAGCTTATTATATCCTTTGGAGTCGGGAAATTATTTCCACTAGTCGGGTAAGTCTTGCGAGTACATTGTGTATTTAGGGTTTATTTTACCCCTGTTGCAGGTGCAGCTTGAGGACTAGCTCTTGTGTAGAGGATTCTTCTGGTGGGCATAGACGGATCCTTGTATCATTTCCGCTAAATGTTTATTTTCATTCCGTTGTTTAATTATCGCACTCTGAACTCTGGTATTGTAATAAATAATTTCCAAGAACTCTTGTTGTATGAAATGGACTAAGTGTTGCAAGGTTGTACTCATTATTGGATCCTGATGGCAAAACGTGGATTGTTTCGAGTTCTCCCTTAGGGTGGGCTCGATGGAACTATCCGATGTAGCTAACTTTCAGGGTGCTTAATGTCTAGTGAAAGACGAGCGCCTCCGAAAGCGTATTATTTTGGGCGGTTCTGCCACAAACTAGACCAAGAGCACTAATAGCTTCATTGAAGAGGTACATTTTAAGATGGTCACCTGCAGGTTTATTTCTATCATCTGGGTTTCTATAAAGATTAAAGTCACCCACTATCAACCAGTTAACAGTATTAGGCATGTTGATGTTCTTAAACCATTACAGAAAAGCCCTCTTTCCAAGAGCAGTACAGGGTGCATATATGTTTGTGAGAATTCAAGGTTCATTATTATGATTAGAGACAAATTCCACAGACACGGTACTCATTCTCAAAAACTTTAGAGCCAGAAAACAAATTACACTTCCAGATGATGATTGAGCCACCAGAAGCTCCAACAGATGGAATGAATTCAAAAGAGTTAAAAGAAGGAGGACAAATCTTTTTAATAAACATAAGATCAAAAGTTTGCTTTTTTGTCTCCTGAAGACAAACTATATCACAATTGCAGTTCGTTACACGATCTCTGTTAGCATCCCATTTCTTATCAGAATTTATTCCTCTAACATTCCAACTAAGGACAAACCAAGATCTAGTTGACATTGATTAAACAAAAGGCAAAAGATAGAAGATCCTATGCAGCTAGGTACTAGGATCTGTAGCTCCATTCTTGAAGCTATGGCTAGAGGAAGGGCTAGCTTGGTCTGAAGAATTTTGGCTTGCTGATGAGCCAGCTTTCTTGTTTTTCACAGACTTCTTTTTCTTTATAGTAGGAGTGAGGTCTACAGGATTGATGCCACAAAAGGATGCCACCAAATTTCTAATGACCTTGGGAGAAATAGTGGGTGGCTTAGCTGCACAACCCAGACAGTTCTTATCCTTGCAAGAGGTGGGTGAAGACTTGAACCCTTTATTGATTAGCTTCAGTCTCATGCTTCTTCTGACACAACAAATTAACAATACGTCATCTACATCCACGATATCAATTCAGTAACAACCCTTTAGTTACTCTAAAACAAACATTCAGATAACATTCAGTCCATAGGACCTTGTGTCGTGGTGCGGACTTGCCAGAAGCGTTGGCCGGTAGCTCTATGAGAACAAAGTGAAGATGCGGGTGTTGAACCAAGTGCAGTTGAAAGCCGACAGTGGCGGTGCAGACCTCGATTTCTATAGTTCCATGTCGGCAAGCATGGTTCCTATGGGAGGGTGAATGTGAGGAAGGAGTGGAGCGGTGGTAGAGGAGGCTAGCTCGAGGACGGGGACCTGCTCCACCCCTCCTACGCACAGTCAAACGGAACTCGTTTCACCTGCGAATGAGCTTCCGCCACTAAGCCGTGGCCGCCGACCGTAGGAGACTTGCGAGCTAACAACGATAATGGAGAAGAATATGCCATCAATTGTTGAACTAGACCATTATGGGCCGGCCGCACATGGCTACTCATGAGCAAAGGTTGGCCTCTTCATGGCTTGTTGTCCACACTCCATCTGAACTCTAACGTAGAGCCGAATATGTTAGAGGATCTCGTTCCTGTTTCAAACACGTGTTTCAAGTGATTCATCTGTCTTCAGACATATGTTGCATATGTTTCATCTGAATATTTTGAAAGTAGATCGAGTGTTGCACGGCGCCGATGACTGGCGGAGAGCGGTCTACCGCAGGGCTTTGGCTCCTACCTCACGCCTTCCTCGCGGCGCGCCTCGCCCTCCCTTTTGTCTCCCTCCCCTCCCTTCCTTTTCCTCTATCTCACCGTGGTAGTTCGAGCTCGACCTGAGCGGGATGGGCGCGGGGCGAGGGAGCTGCATGTGTCGGAAGCAAGCGCGGGAACTCCGTCCGGATGGACACCATCTCTAGAGAAGGATGGGATCGGGGTGGAGGGAGCTATGTGCGTCACGGTAGGAAACGGGATGCAAATGGGGGCGTCCGGGGAATTTGGATAGGTGATTGTTTGAAAAGCCGGTTTTGTTTCCTTTCTTTTCTTTCCTCGTGGGGCCCGCACCTTCTTTTCTCCTTTCCTTTGTTTTTCAAACAAGAGATTTTTTATTTGTATGGCCTTCAAAAAATACATCTTCATTTCATGGCCTTATTTTTTTTAACTTATCTGTATGGCCCGAAAACGAAAATCTCTTCCTTTTATAGCCTTCTATCTAATTCAGCCTATTGATGGTGTTAAGTCCGGAGTAAAATGACCATTTTACCCCAGACCAAAAAAATAAAGTGCAGAGTTTAGTTTGTCTGTTTTAGATTTAGAGTAATATTATGCAAATAAAGTCACATGTAATAGTATGTAAATTGCAGTTTCAGGGCGGCTTGTACGCGATTAATATGCTGCTGAAACTTTATATTATTTTTTTGAACATCTTAATGATCTCAAATGAAAAACATGAAACTAAAGAGTTGTATATCCCATTGAGAGCTACAACTTTCATATATAGGCTCCGTTCGGCTTGCTGAAACTTGGCTGAAAATACTGTTCTGGCTGAATTACTGTGAGAGAAAAACAATGTTCTGGCTGAAAAAAGAAGCCGAACAAGCCGGTTTGAAGGTAAGCCGAACGGGGCCATAAAGTATTTCTATTTGACACCACATAAGAAAGAGATGACAAGTGCTTGCACGTGATTAATATACTGTTGAAACTTTATTTAATTTTTTTTAAGCATCTTAGCTACCTTAAATTAAAAAAACTCAAAACTTAAAAATTGTAGATCCTGTCGAGAACTATAATTTTCATAAAAAACGTCTTTATCCTAGATTATATGAAAAAGATATATTTTTTCTTCTGAACTTTGTTTTTTTCGCCAGAGTAAAATTTACCCTACATTTAACACCGTAGTATCCTGAATTGGACAGAAGGTAAGTTAAATAAAAATTGAGGCATAGAAAGAAGATGTATTTTTTGAAGGTGATATATACATGTAAATATCTCTTTGAACAAACCCTTTTCTTTGTTGGCCGCGCCACAAACCGCCGCCGCCGCGCCCTGAGGTCACCTAACCCTAGAGCCGCCGCCCGTTCGCTCGCCGAGCTCCTCCGCGCCGTCGCACCCCCCTCACCGTGCCCCGCGCGCTCCCTGCGCCGGCCGCTTCACGCGATCGTGCGCTCATGCGTGGTCGTCGTCCTCCTCGGCCCCGGCATCACTGCGGCGCGACCTGGCTGCTGCAGCTCCCCTCTAGGGTTTGTGATCCCCCTGCAGCTTCTTTATCTCGTTCAAATTCAAATCATTCCTGAACCAAACCCTAGCATCTTTTCACCGGTCTCGGCACTCTGTCCTTCCTGCAGTGACTCGTGTGCTTTTTGTTGCTCATCCCTGTGCCGTTCTTCCTGCAGTGACTCGTGTGCGTGCTTGTTGTTGCTCATCCCTGTGCCGTGCTCTTCCTCTTGGTAAGATAGCTATGCCCCTCGTTTCAATTCTTAAACAAATTGCTTGCTGTCTAGGATATTCGAAATCGAGCACCCAAACCCTAGCTTAAGCTATTTGTATTCAGATATGATCTAATCCAATTACTTAAGGGCTTGTTTGGATGCCCATGTATTTACCTCAGCCAGTAGGAGCACCAGCGTCGGGGGTGCCTGCCTTCTACGGCATCCACCTCTCACGAAGTTGAAGCATGGTTGGTGGATAGACGAAGGTTGTCCAGTGGACGACGGACTCGTCTCCATTGTCGCCTATGTAGGGGCAGCCACACATCATGCCACCTCGAGGGGACAACACAACGCCATGGATGCCGAGGTGGGCCCAGAAAGCCCTAGCGCCATCCCCCAGGAGCGGATGCGGCCACTCCTCCCCGGTCAGCCGAAGGCGGGAGCTCTGTCGCCAGGGGCTAAAGCGATTCACCGACAAGATCCTGCATAAGGTGCCATTGCCACTGCTCCCTCAGCCGACTATGGAGGCACAACCAAAGTTGGCGACCCGTAGCAGGAGGTCGCTGCCTAGGCTCTTTCACACGTCCCGGTTTCTAAGCGGGGAGAGGTGCTGGTGATGAAGTGGATGGGGTTGCTCAACAGACAGACAACCACAGCAGCCAAGAACGCCTATGACAGTATCTTCGTCGACCAGCTCAATCCCTATGCTGAGGCAATGCGATAGCTCTTCCCTAACTCACAACGAGAGCGGCGCGAGGCGCCATGCAAGCAAGCGCGTCTGGCCGCTGATGTTGGCTAGGTAGCATGATTAGCGAGTAATGGTCCATGATCTCCTTCTGCTAGGGAGGGCAGAGCCGATTGTATAACACTATCCCCTAGTGTGTTATGTATGTGGCGCGTCGTTATAACTTTCATTATTTCTCGATCTTAATACAAAAATGTCAACATTTTGCATGTGTATTCACGAAAAAAAGTTATTATGGTAAGTTGTTTAAGCGAAGTAGACATACTTCTAATTCTAATAATAGCCACGTTAGCACCGCGCCATAAGACGCGAAGGACACCGGTGATTATCAAAGTTCAGTACATTCGAAGATCGAAACAAACTAATCATCAGGAAAAGAAATTACGACGGCATACACCAGCTAGGCAGCTAACACTGAACATCAAGGACTCAAGAAACAAGCATATCGTAGAGCAGAGAGCACAGGCCCACTGGCAAGTCAAGCAATGGGAGGCTACAGCTGAATGGTGACACCTCTTGCAGCCATGCTGGTCAGTCGCTGCTCCACCGTGTCCTCCCTTGGGGCGCCGGAGGCACCGCCGATCCTCGTCGTCACCGGGCGCGTCACGTCGAACTTCTCGTGGTCGCCCCAGAGCGCGTAGGCCTCCTCGCCGTGCGCCGCGTCGTCGCCGATCATGAGCTGGTCGGAGCGGAATGAAGAGGCCGATGCACAGGAGGATGGCGCTGGTGACCACCAGGTTCCAGACGGTGACGAAGAGCGCGCCACCGAGCTGCTTGCCCATCTGCGCGATGCCGCCGCCGTAGAAGACGCCGCTCGCGCTCGGGACGGGGGAGTCGAGGGCGCAGAGCTCCGGGGTGGCGAGGAGGCCCGTGAGGACGCCCCCGAGCACGCCCTCGATGGCATGGGTGTGGAACACGGCCAGGGTGTTGTCGACCTTCATGAGCAGGGAGGATTTCTTGTGCAGGATCATCATCGTGAACCACGGGACGCCGACCACGTGTGCACCAGCCCTGCGCCATGCAAACCAACATGGCACCATCATGTATTCATGCACATGTGTTGCTCGGTGAACCCATGACGTTACGTTGTTTCGAGATGAAATCGAGAGGCTCGTTACCTGCGCCAGGCGTGATGCAGACAAGCCCAGTCATCATGCCCTGCACTGCGCCGATCACCGAGGGCTTGCCGAAGAAGATGACGTCGAGGCAGGTCCAGGTCAGGAGGCTCGTCGCGGCGCTAACGTTGGTGTTGAGCACGGCGACAGACACGGTTATGTTGGGGGCGTACGGCGCACCACCGTTGAAGCCGGCCCAGCCGAGCCAGAGCAGCCCGCCGCCGGCGATCATGAGAAGGATATTGTTCGGCGAGAACCTCTCCCTGTCGCTCTTCAGTCTCGGGCCTACCTGTCAGTATGACGTTGTTATTGTGGTACAGATATGCTACTAGTACGTGTCTACCGTCTACGTGAGGTTTACCCAGTATGCGGCGGTGAAGCCTGCAATGCCGGAGGAGAGGTGGATGACGTATCCGCCGGAGTAGTCGATCCCACTGGTAGAGGAAGCCGCCGCCCCAGAGGCTGAACGCACCGACGGTGTAGGAGAAGAGCAGCCACAGCGGCGTGAATGCCATCCACGCTCTGATGTTCATGCGTCCGAGGAGCGATCCAGCGAGCAGCACCAGCGTGATGGCCGCGAACTCGAACTCGAACAGCACCAGCGACGCCTTCGCGTAGTATGGCTCGGTGCGCGGCGTCTCCAGCACGCCGCCGCGGCCGTAGGGCGCCGTGGCCGGGAAGATGGCGCGGCGCACAAGAAAGTCCTGCGTCAGCGCTGGCCCCGCCTTAGCCCAGAACGGGAGCATGCGCTTGCCGAACGCCATGCGGAAGCCGACGAGCACCCAGATGATGAGCGTGGACGCGTACGCGTACAGCGCCATGAAGGCGGAGTTGACGGCCCACTTCTTGACGATGCTGCCGTAGAGCACGACCTGCCCCGGCATGGACTGGAGGTCGATGAACGTGGCCGCCACCAGCTGCCACGCGTTGTCGTCCTTGTTCAGCCACGCCGGCACCGCCGGGAGGTCGGGCATGTACGTCCCGGACTCCGGTGGCGACGCCATTCCGGTGGACGCGACGTGCGTTTGGCTTAGTGTTGAGGGAGGAGTACGTGAACAACGGCGCGCGAAGTGGCTGATAACTGGAGATGGGCGTTTTAATAGCCATCGGTTCCAAGCTGAGATGGGAAATTTTGGGCTAATCTAGTTCAGGTTGAGTTTGATAAAGTTTGGGGCAACTCGGAGGCGAGCTCGCGAGACGTGATGCGCGCTCGAATCGACGCGTGGTGGGGACGAAATGTGGGGAACCGCAACCGGTTCCTGGTCAAACTCGGCAACTCTAACGCGGACCGTTTTCTTCACCAAAAGGCTTCGTTCGCTTGAGCTAAGACGTTGCTGCTGCAGCTAGCAGCTGCTGCTACAGTGATATACTGAAAGACATTGCAACCGTAGCTGTAGCAAAAGCTTTAGGCCTTAACCAGGTACCAGTCGGGGAGATGCAATTGGAGTCGCGACTCTGAAGTCTGAAGATTAGTACAGGTTGGAGACGCAGTGTTGGAATATTCAGTATATATATTCCACGTTCATTCGTTCAAAGATCATCAGTATGGAGGCCTCATCTTTTTATCGTAAAAAAGCATCGGAGGCTGTGTACTTGTGTTAGGGTGAGCATGAAGAAACAGCCAGGGATTAGTCTCATCCGGCACAGGATGCCACCATTCTGTTTTTTGTAACCACAACTTGGATTAGGATTATGTAACTACATACTCAATAGGTAATGATTTGATCCGCGATCAAAAAAAGAAGTATGTGAATGTAAAATCCCAACAAGCCAACATGGAGATCTTAATTGATTAGCCAGTTTACTGAAATGCTGGGAGCCATGTCTACCTCCGGTACAGCATCCCCGGATTAACAACCTACCAAGTTGAGATCAACTCCTCACTCATACGCATAAGGCCTTGTTTGGATGTATGTGTATCTAATTTAATCCATATGTGTTGGAGTAGAATGTAATGGAACTTAATTTAATTCCACTCTAATCCACTTCAACACATATGAATTAAGATGAATATATGCGCATCCAAACAGCCCTAAGGGAACTGATCCCACCCATTAATATCTTGCCGCATGTATTTTTTAAACATTTCTTGAATCTTAAGATGATTTCAGACAACACTCTTGTACTACCAACTAGTACAAATGAATTATCACTTTTTTTATTTGCTATTTGTCTTTGTTTCATAACATATCAAATTTTTGTCCTTATCTCACTATAAAAATAATTGTAGATTGTTAAATTATTTTTGTGCCAATACATATCAGATTTATCAGGTTTATGGTTTTGTCTAACTGCTTTTTCATTCTAGGAACAAAAAATTATAGATTGTGTCTACAGATATTGCAATGAACTAAACTGTAATTTTTTAGTCAATAATCGTCGTCTGGATGAAAATTTTTCAGGCACCTGAAATTTATCAAAAGCCGGCTTTGTTTCCTCGTGGGGCCTCCTTTTCTCCTTTCCTTTGTGGGCCTGGTCGCGCGGCCCGCGCCCGCACCACAAACCGCCGCCGCCCGTTCGCTCGCCGAGCCCCTCTGCGCCGTCGCACCGCCCTCACCGTGCCCCGGGCGCGCCATGCTCCGGCCACCGGCCGCCGGCAGCCACCCGTGCCTCTTCACGCGGTCGTGCGCTCATGAGCGGTCGTCGTCCTCCTCGGCTCCGGTATCTCTGCGGCGCCACCTTGCTGCTGCATCTCCCCTCTAGGGTTTGTGCTCCCCATGCAGCTTCTTTATCTCGTTCAAATTCAAATAATTCCTGAACCCTGTCTCGGCACTCTGTTCTTCCTGCAGTGACTCGTGTGCTTTTTGTTGCTCATCCCTGTGCCGTTCTTCCTGCAGTGACTCGTGTGCGTGCTTGCTGTTGCTCATCCCTGTGCCGTGCTCTTCCTCTTGGTAAGATAGCTATGCCCCTCGTTTCAATTCTTAAACAAATTGCTTGCTGTCTAGGATATTCGAAATCGAGCACCCAAACCCTAGCTTAAGCTATTTGTATTCAGATATGATCTAATCCAATTACTTAAGGGCTTGTTTGGATGCCCATGTATTTACCTCAACCCACATGTGTTGAAGTGGATTGGAGTGGAGATTAAACTAAGTTCACTCCGATGCACTCCAACACATGTGGATTGAGGTAGATACATGATCCAAACAAGGCCTAAGTGTAGTATACATGTCCTGTTCACAGAAACTTCGATTCTGTTTTCTTTTTTACAAAAATTATTGGGTGTACAAGTGTATACCCATGTCCTTTACTGTATCTGCCCTTGTATTATGGATATTAACTTGGTTTTTTGCAAACATTATCGGGCATACATCCGTGTCCTGTACTGGGTCGACTCTTGCTGTGATGGCCAGGTTTTGAAATCAGGTTAGATCTGCACACGCGATGGAGACTGAGGCGGTCTCGAACGATTGCCTGTTGGGTCCTGTCACTCTCAAAAAGAGAAGCAGCATGAAATTGAAGAATAGGATGATGATGAAGATGAAAAGTCTCTCTTCCTTTCTCGACGAGGAGAAGGAGAAGTATGGCGAGGAAGATAACGAAATCATTATATTCCGTCAACACTGGGAAAGACGTTATGCCGATAGTTACGGTTCGTTTGAGAGCACTAGTAAGTCAATCAAACTCAGTCTAATTACATCTCAAATATTTAATAATATTGCCTATATTGATTTATTTAGTTGAGGGGTTTTCTAGTTTGATGTAAAGCTGACTTTATATTTCTATTATACAAATGGCATGTGCTATTTTCTATGTATATGTCGGGTCTAGCATGGTTAAACTTCTTTTTATCACATTGTGCTTGTGTTTCTGGGGTTCTCTACAAAATTTTCTTTTTGGCTAGAATATATTGTTGTATGCAGAATTAAACATCTGCCTTAAATATAAGCGATATGTGATGCACCTTTTCTATCAACGGACCCTTTAACTTATGGAATTCTTGTTGTAGCTGTTGTGCCCCCTATGCTCTACACATTTGGATCCATCCCAAAATATGCTATCCCAGACAATGGAATGCAGATTTTCTATGTTAAAGTCGCCCAGATCAAAGAGGAGGAGGGTCTTGACTGGCCACTACATGTGTATGGCTTGATTGCCACCAGGGATTCTATCGATCCTAGACGCAATCTTATTTTCTACCGCACTAGGGATAACTGCCAAACTATAACTGAAGGGGTATGTGCCATCTAAGTTCCCTTTTCTGCTTCTCAGCTTTTTTGATTCTATTATATATATTTTGTTTTGTTCACCTCTGTATGTATTTTGCTTGTTAATAATTGTCGCACTTTTTTCTTTACATTTGAATTTGCAAGAAACAATTCAACCGATCGAGAATGCACACAAGCGCCCACCCATGATCCGATCCGACTACAATTTTTTTCCACCAGACTGCACGGACGTTGTGCCCACCATAGGCCGTGTTTTTTTCCCAAGCCCTCGCCACTAGTTGGTTTTAATTTTAGGATGGGTGGACGACGTGGAGTGGGCCATGGCCGCTAAACAGGAGCGACCATGCAGTTTAGTTTTTCTTAGTGAATGTAAATATTGTTAGAGGTAGATAAGGAAACAAAAAGTAGTCAACTAGATTGTAAAGATGTCCAGCGCATATACGAATTACAAAACAGATGCGTATTAATACACAGCATTCTAGTTAGTTGATGATATCCTAACAAGTATAGTGTACATTTCTTTATTCAGGGGAAAATATAATTGTTTCTGCCATGGGCCATGACATCAAGATTTACAGTTACCTTTTTAAAAAATGACCTATAGTTTGAGTACTCATTTGTGAAAACAAAACAACTAGTCCAAAGGCATAAAAAGTAAATGAAGTGGTCTGATCACACAAAAAATAACATGTATGGGCACAAAAAATGATAGCTTGATCACAAATGTGTGAGAAAAAGTTCTAAATAAATTTGTCCATTCACATAATATCATGCCCGAGCACAAAAGGCTTTTTTTTTAAAAAAATTTATGGCCAACACAACTATAAAAGGCTCTCTGCGCAATCACAAATATTTGGATCTATCTGTCTGTCACCCCATACAACCATAAAAAGCTCCAGGCCCAGGCACCAAATCAGCCATGTGATTTCTCCATTCTAGCATATTACTGGTCTATGTTTCCATTTAGCAGATCAACTCTGAATGACTTTCTGTTGACACCATCAAATGTGCTAATTTAGCACCACACAAAACTTCCTCAAACTCAATATGAACAATCCATGATTCACTTCCTTTGGATACTCACCTACCAGAACAAACATTGATCAGCAAAGAATAGTGT